TGACAAGCTGATCTGTGATGGTAAGCAATTGTAACCCGATCATATCCTTATTAGTCTCTCGAAATTACTTTAGCCTGACAAGTATTTCAATATTAACTCTACTCTTCTGTGATCTTATCACCACTCGATACAATTATGCTATTAATTCTTTTACTATACTTTTGTAAATTTTTAGATAAAATAAGTTTTGATATATAAACAAATATATTTATATTTATATGTTGCTCTTCATAAATATTGAGAATTTCGCTTGATCAAAACTTTTGTTTCTCTGTACGATCTCTGTCAGACACAATTGGGTGATACAGAGCAGTCGCACGCGGAAAGGTTGGCCAATCTAGCCAGCCGTCATCGGGCGGAGAGTGAGTTAGAACTTGAGCGACTGCGTACAAGTCAGGCACAATCGGAGCGCACACTTGAGGCCAGAGAACGAGCTCATCGTCAACGTGTCAAGGGGTTAGAAGAACAGGTAATTTTAAAATGTTTTGGTGATAGGGCACAATAAATTAAGCTTCAATAATAGCTCTTCCGAGAATGGATGTCAGTGTTTAGCATGGCGCTCATTAACACTACTTACGATAGCCCCTGTAATGTAAAGACTCCGATGAGTGTGGTAATAATTTCGATGACAAATTTCCATGCGACGTATACCCCATAAGTGCATTCACATCCGAGACGGAATGCACTTACAACCTAGCCTAGGTTTCACTACGATCCCAGATGGGATCTTTTGGAAGCATATGACTGGTGTTTCTTCTATATAAAATAGAACCAATTTTAAGTCTAAACAAAAAATTCCTGAAATTTGAACTTCGAATACTCCATGTAAGGAATGAATTTCGAGAGAATAGGTAATAAAACTTAACTGAGTTGCATAACGGAAGGAAACTGCTAGTGTAAAATCGGTTAAAGATCCTTTATTGTAAATAGGCCTTTTTAGCTCAAAGATAAAGGTTTTTTGTAAGAAAGCCATTTTAATGTTAAATGTAAGGACGAACGTTTACTTCACAAATTGAATATGGCTTTCAATATACTTTTTCAATAGCTCGTCAATTGATCTGTAACTGATGTAGATAGCGATCTGCAATTCATGTTGTTTTCTGTGCTAACCCTTAAAATCTATTATAGAATACTTAAGGGGTAAATCATAGTGTTAAGCCACGGGTTGAATTACGGTTTTTATTAAACACAAAGTAAACTAAGGTTACTCAAAAATCCCTGCTCTTTTGGGCCGATTATATTATATTACGTTTAAAATATATTGGCACTAAATCCCCCGATTTATTAAGTTTAACCAAATCTAAAATCAAATTTTCTTGCGTAAAAGAATGAATGATCTCCGTACCCTATATTCCATCTTAATGTAAATAATCTAGGCCATCCCACACCTACTCATATATTTCCCATGTCATATTTTTCCACTTTCTCACTGGTGGCCATATTTTCCTTACCTTTCTCTTTATTTATTTTTAATCCAGCTAATGAATCAAAAGTTGATGGTATGCTCAAGTTGAGTCCCCGTTATTTGTCCCTTCTCTGTTTATTGCATTACTACAAATTCACAAAAACAATCCACGATATCTAAAAATTTGTTCGTTTGTTTATTTAGTTATTTGCCTAAATTTACGTATACATATGTATATCTGAAGCAATGTTCCATAAAAGTATTATAATCTTTTCTATTTTGATATTTGTAGAGTACTTGCTATGGTACTTTCAAAAGATATATCTAATAAATTTGCCCTTAGTTTGATTCTACAAGAAGCCATGCAAAATGCAAATCGAAGCTGCTTTACTTAAAGCTAGAATGTGAGTGGAGTACTTACTTCCTATCGTAGAAGTTTAAGTTGCAGACTAAACGGCCCTGAAGCTTACTGATTACAATCCATTATCTTGCTTTATTTAAATTATCTATTCGAAAGATTAATTGAGTAATTATATTATACCCTGACTGTCTTTGCAACTTGTTTACCACGCATTCTCCATATCCGTTCTAGTAAATGTTGCGTTTAGGGTAAATATTAGGGTTTATGTATACCCTAGAAATTGCTTGTAGATGGCATCTTTGACACATGTGGCGATGAAGTACATGAATAGCCCCCTGACCCCTACTATGTCCTAGATCACCACTCTTAAAGACCAACTCGGACAAGAGGTGCGCAAAAGGTCTTCGCGGTCCAGTGTGCGTTATGGACTAAGCATGAGTCAAGCCAGCCTGGGTAATCTGCTATCTGGTGGTGAACCCGAAGTTGCAAGCAGCTCTGCTGGTCCTCTGGGCAGTGCGGCCAAATCACGCAAGGGCCATACCCTAGTCACCACCGCCTCAACAGCCGCTGCTACTACCACGAACAGCTCCACTTCTGCAGGCGTCTGTCCTGGTGTTTCTGGCGACGACGATCTCCTGCTGAGTAAAGGGAGCCGTCGACTTTGCGCTGCTACTGCGATCACAGTCCCGGCATGCCGTTTTCTCTCCGTCCGACCTGTCACCGGACATACGCAGACGACAGTTCCGCTACCAACAGCCTCGGGTACCTGTTGTCTGCACAGTCCACGGGGTTTAAGCGTTTTGCCTGGCAGTGCAGTGGGGCTAGGCTGTCCGCAGGCAGGTCTGACTTCATCAACTAGTTTGAGGAGGAGATCAAACTCGAGGCGTGGCTTGACGATGACGCGGTAAACAGCAGCTTTGTAGCCAGTGAAACTTGATATGCTTCAGCCTGAAAGCATTGTCTCCATTATTATTATGCAAGTCCATGCATGCACATTCATATATATATATTCGCGCAATCATAAATCAACCTCAAATCCCTTCCTTTAGTATAGTCTCTGAAATCCTGTACTATTCAGTATGTGGACAGAAGTTTTTGACAGCTGCCTATCTTATAAAACCTGGCCTTAATAGCTATCATTATGGCAAAGCGCTTCTTGTCTTCTCACTCTCGAACCACCCAATTTTCTTTTTAATTATTTCTCTCAAAGTCACTCCATTGAACACGGATCCGTAAACATCAATCCGCTAGTACATAAATTCAAAATTACATTAATACGGGGTTGTAAACCTCATGTCGTCAGAATTTAACAGTATTCACCCTTTCCACTATGCCTGTGACTTTACAAAATATAGATAAATAGATTTGTTTATGCGGGCAAAAGCCCACTTGGATAGTTTCCATCAGAAAACTTTAACACATGACAATCTTTTTGCTCCATTTACGAGTCGTTTTGTTAAGAAATCAGTCAGCTCTTACTTATCTTAACTTATTGTCCCAAAGCATTGGTATCTCTAAATTAAGGTTTAAACCACCAGTGGAATGGTTTTTTCGCTGATTGACCCACTTTATTGGGCAGGCCACATGGACAATTTGCTGCCCTTTAATAACATAAAATCATTTTAAATGCATAGCTGTGTTCTACAAAGTGTATTGTCGCATAAGTTTGCCTATCAGCTAGCGCGAACTCGAGCAACTTTTAAACAATATTTTTGGCTGTGGAATGATTGGTTTGCATATCTAAACCAAGCCCGAGGTTATTCTGGATAATGCTTTCGAACATAACTAAGACAATCAACCTCATTAATACGAACATGAGGAAAAAATCGCCAAAGGCTCGAAGCAGCCATAAAATAGTGTGACAGATTTTATTCAACTTCTTTTTCCTTTCACTGTACTTTTTTCTTTATATTTAACTATCTCATAAGTGAATTATGAGATATAGCAGTAACTACCATCATAAACACAGAGCTATCAATCTTAACTTAGAATCTAGTCTTAAAAGGTCTCTCGAAATGTTAAAACAATCGATTTCTCTGAGGTTTGATTTGCTTTTCTTAAAATACCTATACCAAAACCTACAACTCCTTTAACCTTTCTAGGAAAACTATTCATATTTTCAGATAAACCCAAATAAAACAAACGTATTATTTATTTTTATAAATAAGCAATTTGTTATGCTTATTCATCTGCTAAACTCTAAATATATATCTGCCTCTTTAATCCTCTTTAACGCCCATAATAATTGCAAAAAATAATCAAGAGAAATGATGGAAATTGTATAAATAGTCCGAACATTTTTATTTATGTTCGTAATGAGTAGTTTTTTATATACTTGGGCTCCTGAATTAGATTCCTTTAGGTTGAAGCAGTTATTCCAACTTACAGTGACTTTGTACACTTTATATGGCCTGTATGAGCCAAGTAAGGACAAAATCGACACATGGTCGGAAACATCCTTGCAGATATGGCGTAATCAGTAATGAAAGCAACATTGTGTAATTCCATGATGCCAGAATTATATAGGAAGGGCAATCTTCCCTATCACAATTGTAAGTATACTCGTAGTTAATTGTACGAGCATCCATGGAGTTGTTTGCTTGCGCAATACTCTTCTCAAAGGTGAACTATACAAAGAAGGTCCTAAAATTCGACAAGTGTACATACACACCAGATCTCCTAAATAAGAATGTTGCTTCACTATAATGACGTGGTTGAAGGAAACAATTTGCAGGCTCCTAAACAGCCTAAATGTAAAATATATCATCTCTTCTGGAAAATTGCACATTAGGAAAGGTGTTAGAAAAATGGGTATCTAGTCTTCTAAGATTGAAATAACTCGCTCTAAGGATCATAAGTGACCATAGGTTTCTAGTTAGATGAAAAAGCACTGCAAATTCTGAGAAGGAAAGCGTTGGGATTCATCAGTAAGCTGTAGAATGGCTAGGATTGACGTCATTCCATGCTAGGTCATGGAAGTTGAAAACATAATCCATAGTTTCGTTTATAAGTAGACTTTTGAGACTACCAGTAAATAAGAGACTGGTAGTCGAATATTTCCACAATGAGATGAGTAGAGTTAACGTCTCCATTGAATTTAAAATAGCCTTGCTTCCACAAAATTTGTTCTCGACCGGAGTGGACTACAGTTTCGACCTCGCCTAGGTCTTACCAACACCCCTAGCGGGACTCGAACCATGACACAACAGCACATAATCTCGACACGATAACTAGTACGTCACACTGCCACAAGTACGGATGGAAACTTCAAGGAAGACCAGGCATTTTTTAATATTAAATGCTGTGGTGGGATTGTCGATGAGGCAAAGCTGTATTTGCTATAGCAATCTATTATATTGAAGTTGTTTGACCTTGTTTTCGCAACTTGGTCATAATGGTAGGAAGAGTGATAGAAACGCACCTTGTCC